CCTAAACCCTAAACCCTTCAAACCCTTCAAACCCTTTTGCAAACCCTAAACCCTAAACCCTAAACCCTAAACCCCTAAACCCTAAACCCCAAACCGACTCCCCGGCCTCTTAGAGCTCAGGTCTTCTCCTCGGGTTTCGGCTTCTCCGCCTTGCGAAGCTCCGTCGCCTGAGGCCTTGCTTCGGCGGCTTCGGCGGCTGCGGCGGCTTCGGCGGTTTAGGGGTTTGGGGTTTAGGGTTTACGGTTTAGGGTTTAGGGTTTAAGGTTGGGTTTTGTTAAAGGAAACTACAGGTGGGGAGTTTAGGGTATATTGGGCTTCTATATGGCTTCTATAAGGCTCCTATAACGGTAACTCCTGAAAAAGTCCTAGATTTTGGGGGTTCCCAATGCCCCCTAAATCAGGAACATAGCTTTTAACTCTAATCTTAAACCCCTTAGATGTTAAGGTATAGTCCTTAATTTAATGGGTATTGGGTTCTCTGGGTTTGGGCTTCCAGTGTTAAGGCTTTATAAGGGTTTAAATGTTTAAGGGTTTTGGGGCTTAGGGGTTTAAGGGCTTCTCGGTACAGGCTAGCGTGGCGATGCGGCTTGGGTTGAGTTTGATGCCTTCCCAAAGTGGCTCGAACAACCTGGTGCTTCAAGCCCATCCAATTCCCGAAGACTGGAGGCTGGCAAGATTGACAGATATTCCTCAGCAGTCCACTGCCGTCGCCCCTGAAGCTATATCCCGTCAATCTGGCGATGGAACGACAGTTGGGTCCGGGCTGGAGTATTCCGGAACCCTGAACCCCCAGAGACCTGATATCTGAGGCCTCAACCTCTGCCCTCATTCATCGAATCTAAACAACCGCAACCTCCCAAACATCTGTCCTTCCACCCGAAACCCTAAAGCCGAACTCTGGACCCTACATCCGAAACCCTAAACCCTCAAAAACCCTAATCCCTAAGCCTAAATCCGAAACCCCAAACCCTCAAAAACCCTAATCCCTAAGCCTAAATCCGAAACCCCAAACCCTCAAAAACCCTCATCCCTAAGCCCTGAAACTCCTGGCAGCCCCGCACCCGAGCCCCAGACTTTCCACGGTAGTTGAGGTAAACAGAGAAGGAAACCTCGGTAAATCCCCAGAGAGCCCAATGCCCCCTTAATTCAATCAAGGAGCTTCCGTTTCTTTTTACGCTATATCCGCTATATGGGAATTTCCGAAAATAATGGGTATCTTATTTCGGGGTGCTTAAGGATCCTACCATTTAGGGTGCTATATCAGGGTCCCCTATTTTCGGAAAACCCCATATTCAAATTAAAGGGTGTCGGACTCTGAGTGCGGTGGCATGGTTTTGAGCGAAGAAGCTGGCAATCTGTGCATGCGTGTGTTGTGTGCTTTCGCACCTGTGTGGGTGAGAGTGGGGGGGGGGTCGATCTATGCACTTATGTCTTTATGTCTCGTGTAGTCACGCTTTTGCTATAGTTTTGTTGACCCTAAACCCTAGACCCTAAACCCTAAACCCTAAACCCTAAACCAGCAGCACCATGTTGGAACCCGAAAGACTCACAGCAAGATCTTGCGAATCCATGCCTCTACGCTTGCCGACTCTTCCCGGGATCTAGAAGTCCTCAACCCTTCGCTACAGGAAGCCTTAAAGGAACCCGGAAGGAATCCTCGTATCTAAACCCTAAGCCCCCCGAAACCCCTAAACCCTGAACCCTTTTTTTTGAACCCAGACTCTGCCAATCAGCTGGGAACATCTGGGAAGTAGCGCCGCCAAACTCAAACCTAAACCCTAAACCCCAAACCCTCCCCTAAACCCTAAACCTTTTGAGGCGCCCTTGTAGCGACACTTTAGCAACCCTGAAAAAGCGAACCCGGACCCGCGACGCCGAGACCCGAAACCTTCAGGGTAAAGAGTGCATCTCCGATCCCCGGCTTGGGTTTAGGGTTTAGGGTTGAGGGTTTAGGGCTTGACTCACAAACCCATGAACTCCGAGCTTTGGGAGGGTTTTATACTTCCCTACAAGTTCAAAACACAATAATGGTTATGACTGTACCCTAAACCCCTTTCGCGACCGGTAGTCCCGGTAGTTGGTGATTGCCTGCACACCGATAACCCTAAGGATACCAGTAAGGACAGATTTAGGGTCCAAAATCCCACCCTACAGTCTCACCCCAGTTATATCAAACCTTAGAACAGCACCTAAACCCTCAAAACTCTGAAGCCTTAAACCCCCAAGCCCTAAAGCCGCCAAACCCTTCCAACAAATACGACACCTAACTTCCTGTGGTCTTTGAAACTTTTTGAAACCGGACTTGATATTGCCAGCATTGCCTTTTTGCCCGTTCTTCAACCGAGGCCCTAAAACCCCACTCCTTTTTTGAGCAGGGGCTGCAGCACACATTGAAATCCTGAAATCCTCACTCCCAAGCCGAGAAACACCTTCATAAACCCCCTCCCCGACAGATACTCTGGCACAGCGACGTACTGCCCGCGCTTGAAGTTTTTTCGCTGCGTCCGATGAAGGAACCTCGGGCTAAACACGCAAAAAGGGCAAGCTTGCTTCGGTGCTATTCATTTCGTAGGGTCTGGAGTTTAAGGGGCTTTGAGGTTTAGGTTCTCGTGTTGCTGTCTCTGACATTGGAACGGTTTCAGGTTTAAGTTCAGTTTTAGAGTTTCGGCTGCAGGGCTTGGACTCTCACAAGTCGGGTGACGATTCAGTACAAGGAGAGCGGTTCATCCAGCTTCACAACCTTTGCCGACCCACCTGCCTTCAACAAACTCTTGCTCTGGTCTTCTTCCATCTTCTTTCGTCTTCACACTTTCTGCTTGCGGTTTGTGACTAACATCGCTAGCCAAGAGATGAAGCTCACGTCATGCACTGGACGGTGGGTTTGCTGTATGCTGCAAGATGCTGCAAGCAATGCAAAACCTCAATGCCAGAGTCGGACTGTCGCAGCCATAGCTACCGGTGTTGCTGCAGATTGTTCCGTTTGCTTCAATCCTCTGGGGTCGTTGCCTCAGCTAACATGACTGGAAGCCGCAAGTGGCTCCAGAGTTTCAGACCTCATTGGTTACGGTGGCTCCTGGCGGCGAGTTGGGGAAATTGAGCCTAGCAGGGTCTGCAAAAGCTCCACATCTTCTCCACAAGCCAAACCCTCACAAAACCTCGCGAAGTTTAAACCCTACACCCGGTAGATTTAAATCTATCCCCGCTTGGAGCCCGGCGCATCTTGCCCAAACTTCTTCGTAATGTCCGGGCACTCGATGAAACCAAAGCCCTTGTCCTCGAACCTGGCACAAGAGTTGGCCAGCGTGCTCACTGAACATTCACCGTCGTTACTAGTATAGTACTATCTTACTAAATATTAGAACTCGTCGCATTACACCCAATTACTCTTCGTTTAGTTAGTTGCTACGGGTACTAGTAGTATTGTTGGCAGAATCTGGAAAGCAGGTGGCTAGGACGATATGCTAGAGGAAGATCTGGCGCAGGCATGTGGGGTAGCACGGGACGGGCATACTTTAATCATCGGCTTGCAAGAAGACCCCAGAAAAGTTTAGACCCTAAGCTGCATGACTTGCAGCTTTTCGCCAGCTCGAAGACAACATGCCGGTCATGGCCACAAGTACATCACACCCACGAACCGCCGGTCTGTCAGACCTGTTTCGGGCGTGGGGAAGATCGGGCCTGAAGTTTGAGTTTGGGAAAAGTCTTGGGTTTTTAGGGTTTAGGGCTTAGGATTTAGGGTTTAGGGCGTCCCTTTCTGGAGGATTTAGGGTTTAGGGTTTAGGGTTTCGGAAAACCTACAGTCTCACATTCCGCCCAACCTCTAAGCGGCTAAACCCCTGCAACAGCCCCAGCTTATTGAACCTCCAACCCAAACTGGACAATCAGCCCCAACCCCAAACAGCTAAACTTCAAGACCCCTGCACCCAAATCCCCTAGGCTTTACACCCTTAGAGGGCCCCCACACCCAAAATCTCCGGTTCGACGGGGGCTGCTGGTCCAGACGTGGCTCTGACTGCGAACATACATTATATAACACTATACTCTACTATGTTCTATCCTAGTCGTTTGTTCTATATTCTGTTTCATCATATTGTCAAACATCATGTCATGTTATATCAGGTTATAGCATATTTTCCTATGTTATCCCACATTAGATCATATTTAAGAAATTATAATTATATATATATATAGATAGATAGATATATTCCTACATCATCCGATATTAGATCATATCATTCTGAATCTTTCCATCAACCCGGGATTTGCAGCCCGAATCGGGCCTAGGAGTCGAGGTCTCTTCGGGTTTGGGTTTAGGGCTCTTGAGGCTCAGAGTTCTAGGGTTTAGGGCTTAGGACTCTTGGGGTTTGGGGTTGAGGGTTTAGGGCTTGCGACTCCCGGGTTTTGGAGTTTAGGGTTTGGGGCTTAGGACTCTTGGGGTTTGGAGTTTAGGGTTTAGTTGGGACGCTTGGGTTTAGGGTTTAGGGTTTAGGGTTTAGGGTTTCGGGTCGTTGCGGGTCGTTGCGGGTCGTTGCGAGTCGTTGCGGGTCGTTGCGGGCTTTGCAATCTGCAGCGGTTACTGTAGGCTTCAGGGGCAGAGCATCTTGGCTTCAAGAGAAGCTTGGCTTGGGCTTGAGCCGCCCTTGAATCCGTAACCTTAAACCCTGCATCCCTTTAAACCCCTAAACCCTAAACCCCCCTATACCCTGTAAAGCCCTTAAAGCTTGACCCGTTTACCTCACATCCCAAGCTCCCCTAGCCCCCCCTGAAACCGTCAAAGCAACCAAGGCCTGGGACCACCTCCATGTCCGGGGGCCGGTAGTGCGGGTGGTTGATGTTGGGGGACGCGCCCGGCCTTTGGAAGTGGTGAGGACTTCGAATTGCAGCTTCGGCTTGTTGGGGGCTTCAGGGTTTAAGGCTTAAGGTGCAGGGGTGTGCAGGCTTTGAAAACTTCGATTTGAAGCGGGCGTGTCCCGCCATATTCACGCCCTCTCCAAGACTAACAGCTTGCTTCTCTCAGAACTTTACCCTAGCATACTACCTCCACGACCGATCAATCTCGGAAGGAATGCTTGCTCGTACACTTCGCATGCAGCTGTTTTCGCTCATGCGAGTGGGTGCCAAGAATGAATAACAGCCTGGGCAATTTGCACACGGACCGCCCAAGACTTCCCCCCCGAGAGCTCTCCCAAAGCCAGTCACTTTCCAAATACACGTGCTATCTCTCTAGAATGGCAATCTAAACAAGGCCTATGCTTTCAGTGGAGCCCTTTTAAAGATCACAGCCCCTAAAACCTTAACACCATAAAAACCCTAAAAACCCTAAAACCCTAAAAGCCCTAAAGCCCTAAACCTAAACCCCATACACCCTCGCTACCCTATTTAAAGCAAAAGCGCTTCTGAGCCCGCCGGCGGGTAGGGGTCCTCCTCCTCTTCTTCCGGGAGTTCCTCCTGTCCGGCAAAAGCCAAGGCCTGGGGAAAGTCTCTTTCAGGGTTTAGGGTTAGGGTTTAAGGTTTAGGGCTTCGGGTTTCAGCACTCACTCTCGGACATGCCTAGCCCTTCGGGTTTAGGGTTTAGGGTTTAGGGCTCGGTTTAGGGTTTATGCCTTAATCGAGTTTAGAAGTAGAAATTGGGGTTTAGGGTTTAGGCATCAGGGTTCCTTCAGGGAGCTATAAGGGTACTACATGGAAGGATGCCACAAGGGTACAATAAAGATCCTAAAGATTTTGGGTTCGCTGGTTAAGGGTTTTTGTCTTGCTTTCCGGGCTTAGGCTGTCAGGAAGAAACTCCCATAACTTGGCCATAACGTGCAGGCAAACACTAACGCAGCCACCAAGCAAATGTTCTCCTCCTCACAGTCCGATGGCCCTTAAGAGCAAACACACCTGCATCTGCCGCCTGCTTCTGAATTGTAAACAGAATAAAATAAAACACTGCAGGGGTACTGCAAATCTGCCAGCCAACGGGCATTAGGATCCACCGGGGCAGCCATTTGTCCAGTGGCTCCTGGCATCATTCCCATTGCCTTGGCGACAAGAGAACGTCTGGGTTCGGTTCGGTTCGGTGGCGAGTGTTGTTCTGTCCGTTCATGACGCAACTGATGGCATCCATCTGGACTAGCTTTGGTTTCATGTGGAACCCTATGTGACCCGGAATCATGTCAACATGCTTACTGCTTTCCTTGCCCAGGAGCCATGGGGTTCATCTGCATCATGCTGGCCATTGGATTCATCTGCATCATGCCGGCCATGGGGGACATCATCATGGCCTCATGTCGTACGAGAGATCGGGAGAAGAAGCTCCGAGCCATGAAGTGAGAGGATGGCCAAATGTCCTGACTTGGACTAGCCTGTGCCATCCTTGGGCTGAGGCTATCTGCTGCTGCTGCATGAGGGCGGCCATTGGATTCATAGCCGACCTTGCGGTGTGCCGAAAAATTTGCATCGAGCAAACTGACCAGCAAATGGCATTGGGACACAAATACGCACGCTACAGGCTAAGCCCGCGACATTGTAGGGCAACCACAACCCAAGCAGCCGCATCCAGGACAGCTGCCACAACAACCACAGCCGCCACAACAACAAGGCATACACCCCGCCATGCAGCCGCCGCTTGGCTGACAGCTAGTCTGACAGCCTGCGGGGCATCCAGATGGACAGGCTTGCCCACAGCCGTTGCAACCCGCCGCTCCGGCACATGCATCTCCGGCACTGCTGCCGGGGGCAGACGCCACACTCGCTTGGCATGGTCCGACGTCAGGTGAAGTCACCTGAGCACGAAAATTGAAGCAATATTTTGCTTATGCTACTGCCTCCACGATGTGCAAGCATTGCAAGCCCGGCCACTGCTGCAAGCCCGTTGTCTCCTGCAAACGATACCATGAAACAAACGTGCAAACTGCCGCATCACCTTTCATCATGCCGTCGCCTGCGACTGGACTACGTGACCGGCTGCGCTCTCCTCCAAACATAAGGAAATCAAACCCAACAACCCACGGGGCACACACACACACACACAGAGATGCAAACGCCTGTCGCCGATGTATTATTCGCATATCACAACTCAGGCAGCGGCGCGCATGCATCCCTGATGCTTGTCACCTCTGCCAAACCAGTCCGTGCTATGTTCATGCCTTCAACCGGGCAACAAACCTTATAGAACCTGTCTGAGCAACTCACGCTTCGATTGCGAAATGCACTCGCCACACCCATTGGGACGGGCGAACTACTGCACGTGACATGAACAATCCATCGATAGTTCCTTGACTTCTTCGTACATGCCTATCCGAGTGGATGTTGGCGCTTGGATCTTAATTCGTGTTCTTAGAAAAAATTCCAGCACATGGTGTCTGTTGCATGATGTCGCATACATCATGCTGTCGATGCTGTTAGACCATTCTTGGGCCAACGAGGACACGCCAGACTCTCTGTAAGCCGCTACTGCATTGAGGGACCTGCTCGGTAGCTTCCATTGCTCCCACAAGAATACAAGCAGAAGTTGCACACGAACCAATGTTGACTCATGTTTGAGACCATGTTCAACTCCTCTCTAACCCATGTTTTCACCACATGTGTGACAATCATGTGTGGCACTTGATGTGCAGGCCACCACGCACTGGACCGAAAACCACAGGGGAACATTCTGTTTTTTGCTATTCTCGGGTCAACGAGCGAAACCAGGTTCAAGCTCCCGCGGTTGCTTAAGCTGGCTTTCCGCCTGCGCGATTGATGGCCACCTTCGGGATAGCGACGGAACAAAGCGCCTGCAGTGACACATGGAGGTTTGCGCTTAATGCCGTAAAAACTCCCACAACACATCCTCGACTCGGCGTGACCAAGCGCAAGTGAATACACCTGGCAAACTTCTGGAAGTCTGGCTCAGCTGCACAAGCTTCTGCGGCTATCGGCCGCTGCTGCAATAGTAGCACTAGCCTGAACTTCTGGACAGCCGACGAGCAGTGGCTGGGCGCCTTTAGTTCACTAGTCTATGGGTTGCGTCGCTTTCACACTCAGCAGCTGTCGCCGTGAAAGAAGTAAGAACCAAGCCCGCCGAATAGAGCCGCACATGCCCCTTACTGGCAGGCCAACGTAGTCACATGGCTGGCCCCGCGCAGCTGCCTGACATGAATGTCGATGTGCCTGTCCACGAACCATGCATCGATGAACGTAGGGAGTGGAACAAGCCGACGTCCGCAAAGGCGCGGCTTACGAGCTGAAGCCCGAAATGCATCGTGTCGTGCTTTCTACGATACACATAAAGTTCAAGAGTAAGCCTGATGCCCGAAGGTGCCCCACTTCAGGATCAAGCAGTGGCAGCGCAGCTCACTGCATTGCCACAAAACAGTGTTGTTTTTTCCGTCTGTAAAGCCTGCGACATCGCGCGATTTAGCCCAGGAAATCCCCTCAAGTGTTTTTTTCATTACACTCAAAACCGTGGGTCTTGTCGTCTGGCATCCAAGTCCTAGGGAGGACCGCAAAGGAGTGGAGTCACATAAGACCCAGGCCTCGGACACCTCTTAGGGCGAGCTCTAGTCTTGATTATCCTTTCTGGGGAAAACGGAGGCCTTTTGGAGATCTGTGATTCGAAATTGTTGGTCTGAAAAAAAGTGCCAGCTTGAACAAGACTTTGCCACGCATTGGGCCTCGTGGTGCGACACCTTGCCCGTCATCCATGCCCGTGCCCCGGCTGGGGCGGACCGGCTGCTTGGTGCCCTCCGCGGCGACAGCGCCCTCCCCTCGACCGCAGCCGCCGTCCTTGCGCAGGCGCATCTGCGCGCTCTCGGCGGTGACACTCCTGACTGGGCAGCCGTATGGGCCGGCACTGCTGCACCCCCTCCCCAGCGCGTTGGAAAATCAGAAGCGTCCCGCGATCCTTCGCGTTTCAAGGCTTGGCAGCGCCTCGCTGCCCGCGCCTGCGATGAGCGCGCCTATGAGACGCACCTTACTGACCTCACACCCGCGTTTCGAGCGCTGCTGCTGTCGCAGGCCGGGCCCTTTGCCGCCCGAGCCTTGAATGACCGCTCAGCCTGTGCTACCTCGGGTGTCCTCGCCACGCGCGAGCTGCCCCTCAAGCATGCCGTCGCGCGAGTCTGTCGTGAGGCCGGCGCCCGGGTCGCCCGCCACGTCCGGCTTGCGGACATGAACCTCCATGTGCCGGTCTCGGAGGAACGGCGCAATGAAGTCGTCGCCAACGGCCTCCCTTTGCGGCATGGCTCATAGCTCGCCCTGGACGCTACCATTCTGCCCCCTCACACGGCGCGGCGAGCCCCACCCGCATGCACGGCGCTGCCGCCTGGTTGTCGCTGGGCTTGAGGTTGGCGGCAGGTTCGGTGCCGAGACCGTACAGCTGCTGCGCCTCCTCGCACGACACCGGGCCGCCGCCGTCCCTGCACACTTGCGGCCCTCCACAACTGTCGCCTGGATCTCGCGCTGGTCTCCCAGCGCGCCTACGCGGCCTCACTCCTCGGCCGCCATGCTGGGCTCGCAAACCGGGCTTCATGCAGCGCGCTTTCTCACCACCCGTCCCACCTTGCCGGAAGCCCGTTCGAGCGTGCTGCTGCTCGTGTGTGCAGAGAAGCTGGGGCAGCGGTCGCTCTAAACGTGCTTGCCCAGGAAGTGAAAGTTGACACAGCACGCCAAGCACATACCCCGAGCTGTGAAGGTCCAACCGCTGCCGGCTCACTGTCATAGCCCTTGCGATTGGGGGGCGTTGGAGTGCCGAGGCCGCTACCTGTGTCCGCTTGCTGGCACGGTGCCGTGCGCGGTCTGCGCCACCACCCTCGTGCGCTGCCGCCATCTCGGCTTTTACTATCCGCTGGTCTGCGCTCCTCTCCTTTCCTGCCCCCTCACCGGCACGGCCAATGTTGACAGCGAGAGACCACCTCTGAGCGACATCCTCGCCGACTCGCTTTCCCAGCCGCCGCTCGCCAGCTCTGCGCACGCCGCTTTCTTTGCCTTCTGGCGTGGACTGTTGCCCTGGCTTCGGGATGTTTTGGGCTTGTGCACCGGGACCGCGCTGTTTCGGACGTTGGCAAAAACGTCCGGGGAAAAAAAAAATACAAAACGAACGAATAAGTGAATTGAGTGAGCGAGCGAGTGAGCGAGAGAGTCCATTTAGCAGTCGTGAATCTGTGAATGATGAACGAGTGCCTGTGTGAGCGAGCGCGAGTGAATGTGTGAGTGGGCGAATGGGTGGGTTGGTGAGTGAATGAATAAGTGAAACTGATCAAGTGGCTGAGTCCGTAAGCAAGCGAGCAAACGAGTAAGTGAGCGAGTGAATGGGCGAGCGGGCGACTGGGCAACTGAGAGAGGGAGTGGGTACGTCGGCCCGGATCGCACTCGCCGAATGATTTTGTGTCTGTCGCGCCCCTGCTGCGAATGCGAAAAAGGAGTCCGGCCTCCGTGCCAATCGCAACCTATGGGCCTAGGAAGAAGCTGGGAACCAGGCATAGCTCCGATGACGCATGGTGTACCCAAAGCAACGTGGCCGCAAGGGCACTTCGCAGAGCCACGTTCAACAGCACCACCAGCAGCGCAGCCAGGCCTTGTTGCGGCACCTCGCAGAGCAGGAGCATGCTGGGCTCGAAGCCGTACCCACTGGGCGTCGGCAGCGACAACATCGGGGACTGATGCGTGTGCGTGTGCCAGACACTGCCGTGGAGCGACCAGTCCCTCAGGTCCGATCCTCCTTTTACGTGTCCATGCCACTTACAAAGTGTCTGATGTCCACGAAATCAATGCCGAGCTCAATGCGCCGCGCCAAACCGCTTGACAAGTGACACGGGCGTCGAATACGAGTTGGGACACATGCCACAAAAAAAGGCCGTCCACGACAAGCTCGATGCGCCGCGCATCGACGACCGGCATAACAAGATTCATGCCAGCCGGTTTTTTCTCGTTTTTACGACTGCGACAAAGTCCCAAGTCCGCGTCGGCAGCTACGGCTACGGTCTGACGGGGGAAGGCGCGACCCAAGGGCAGGGCCGCGGCCGCATCTGCGAGGGCCTCATGCGGCTCCGGCACAGGTCCGGGCTTCCGTGGGCGGCAGCTCCAGCAAAAAAGGCGTAAGGCGCGCTGGGTAACGACGGCGAAGAGCGCGGACCAGCGCGTAACCCAGGCAGTGATCGCGGCTGGTCTGCAGGTGCGGGAATGGTGGCGGCCTTGTGCCTCGCGAGCTGGCGCAGGAGCTGCACGGTCTCAGCGCCGAACCGGTAACAACCAGGCGGCAGCGTCGGGCGCGGGGACGGCTCCCAACATTGACGCAGCTTGGCCAGGCCAACCCCCGCACCGATGTCGAACCCGGCTGCGCTGTCACTGCTGCTGCGCACCGCGCAGTGACATCAAGCCTAGTCCGAGCTCGCCCGCATCGCCCGTGCCCGAATGTGTTGGGTGATCATGTCGCAACCTGCCCCCGGTCCGGCACCTTGCGACAACGAGGTGGGCCGCTTGAACGGGCCACTGCACGTGTCTGCCGCGAAGCCGGCGCAGCTGTTGCTACAAATGTGCTGGTCCGCGACCTCAACTTGGAGGTTGCAAGGCAGGATGAGCGGCGCATTGAGGTCATTGGAAATGGACTTCCTTTGTGGGGTGGCTCTCAACTCGCAGTTGACACCACCTTGCTGCTACTATCGTGTCGCCCCTCACGCGGCTCGGCGACGCCCACCCCCGTGCCGATGTCGANNGTCGATCCCGGCTGCGCCCTTGCCGCGGCAGCGCGCCGAAAGCGGCATCAGACGTACCCAGAGCTGGCGCGTGCCCGACGCTGCCGCTTGGTTGTTGTCGGCGTCGAGGTTGGTGGCCGGTTTGGCACTGAGACGGCGCAGCTCCTGCGCCTGCTCGCGAGACACAAAGCCGCCACCGCCCCCGCCGCCTCCAGGCCGGCCGCGATCACTGTCTGGGTCGCGCGCTAACACGTTCTGAGCTAAGATTTGTGCGTCCACCATTGCAACTGTGTTATAGTAAATAAGATTGAAGTACAGCGCTGACTTGTGTGGGATACCTTCTAACTGTTGGTCATGCGGGTTTTGATCCAGGATGGGCGACTGCTAAACTTGGAAAACGACGCAAAACTGCCAGTGCTGCTGCCGAGCCGCTGACTTGTGACGATATCATTAATACAAATAGTCTCAGCTTGTCTAGTTTGCAGTGATTTTCTGCGCTTGTGGCGTCTACGGGGCACACAGCTGTACTCGCAACAGAGAAGGCAGCACAGGCTCGGCTAGCTCGACCATTTCGCTCAAGACCCGGGTGCTAGCAGGATCAGCAGGGCATAAGCGCCCAAACAAGCCGAACTCACTTCTCAAGACCCCGTGGCGAAAGGCCTCCCAACCCAACTTTTTTTTTGCACCTATTTTCTTCCTGCAGGACTCAGGCGTCCGAAACTACTCCGCGCCACGGACTATACACGCCGCACAGAGGCAGCCGGCTCGGCTTCGCGGCCTTTGCGAGGTCGAGGATGGGGCGGTGCAGGCCAAGCCGACCCAAGTGCCATGCTTGTCGCAACCCAACTCACCTAGCCCGGCCGCGCCGGGAGCCCGAGAAGACCACGGCAAGAGGCGACGGCCCCATTGGAACAAGCTGCACCGAAAGCCTGTGTGCAGTTGGGGATTTTCCGCCCAAGTCAGGCACAATGAAATTTACGGTAGCTGTTCGCATAAAATGTAAAAACGCTCACCGTGTTTGCTCCATTTCCGGGAAGTTTGGAAGACGACCCCCAAGTTGCAGTACTCCGGGAAAGCGGGCACAGGAACATCATGAAGCGAGACCAACACCAGGTATCACCACGTCAATGCTAAAGCGATGTGCTATCTCAAGCTGACAATCCAGAAATGCCATGAATGAGTTCATGAAGCCGGGGTTCCCCAGATCCTTCTCGCGCAGATGCGCTCAGGGCTCAGACCCCCTAATCTCGCCCGAATGGCCATTGCAATCCCCAGCTAAGGAGCAATTCACATCGAGGATGAAGCTGTATGACTTCCACACGCATACCTACATACGGGGCACACATGTGATACCGACTTCGTTGTTGATTGACCTGTACTATACCTTTATCATATGCATTCATTTCCGTCAAGAGAATTTTGGTGGTTTGGCGTCCGCCCGGCGTTGAGGGTCCAACATGCGAAAGCATGAGCAACATGGTTTTGTTACATGGGTTTCTGACCTTGTTTTTGGGGCACTAGCTCCCGCACGCTATATGTATAAACCCTCTGGTGCCTGCGTCGGCGTTGCGAACATCTGCCAACAGGTCAACCGAAGGTGGCTCCGTGCCGTCGCGCTCACACCCTCCTGCAAGACTAAGTCAACGCACACTATGCTGCGCCAGCAAGCATGCCGGCCTGTATGCTGTGCGGGAACCTACCGCCCACGGCAACGTACAACGCTCTCGGGTGACGCTGGTGTCGGAATGGAAAGTGTTCCAGCCCAAGATGCAAGTACGCTGCACTAGTTTGCACTGCGTTGTTCCGCGGCGCGACGCGACGAAGACCTTGAATTCTAGCGCAACACGTCTGCTACCGAGCACAGGCGGCCATCATTGGCCAAAAGGCCGGCCACACAGGCCACGTCGAGCGAAGTCGGGCAACCCCATGTCAAACAAGCATGCGTGGCTGAACGATAAACGTCGCTCCTCGGGGTGCCGCGAACGGAAAAACCTTGATGTTCTCGAAGAAAGGTCTGCTCGTGAAGTCAGACAGGGTAACTGCCGGCGCACATCACCAAGTTCCGGGAATGCCAAACCGTTCCTGTGTCTGGAGTTCCCAAGATGCCTCTTTCCAACAAAGCACGTCTCAGTTTCCATGCGCACATTTGTACGAACGGCATCGAACGGCACAGACACGGTCACTGTGCAGCTGCAGGCGACGGCACGCACCCGGCCGGGGGTCCTCCATCGCCCACTCAGCAGCAGGGGCGTTGTGCCATCGCTCATCCTGCCGCACCTCATGCACAGCCGGCTCACCGGCAGCCGAAGCGATTGCACGAGAGGGAGCTCGAGCAATGAGCTGGCGCGGGGCATCTGCGCCGCAACTGCCATGATCCCATTCCAGCTAGCGAGACACGCAGGTTGCACGCAAAGCCAAACGGATTGCGCATGCGCAGCTTGCGCTCGCGCCAGTAACAGCGAAAAACTTGCGGGCTCGGCTGGTCACACCCCGCCGGCATGCCACTCGCAGTCTCGCCGGCAGTCGCCGGCGGGTCTTCGTCATGCACAGTGATCAGCGCCTTGCGTTGCAGCTGCGGCGGCAGTTAGCACGCTGGCATGGGGTGCTGCAAGGGCGTACCGGAGGTTGAAAGGATCTGCGGCAGGCGTGTTTGAATCGATGGTCGCGTATCGAGCCAGGAAACCCAGTGTGCAGCATCAATGTTGGCGTCGCGTATCAGTGCCTCCCACAAGGTGAGGAAGGCGGTACTTGCGTGTGCCGGGTCGTAGGATATCATCCGGAGTGCATGTAAGGCAACGTGGCTCGAACTCGACGCGTGCTGCCGCGAGCCTTTCAAACAACTGCGGATTGTCCAATTGACGCCAACGACAGTACATGAGGAGTGCATTTTCCCACGGATTAGGTTGTCTTCCAGCCTTCCAACATGAATTCGTCGGGAGTACCATTCTGATACTTGTTCCCTTCGAGACGTGGCCAAATGTCAACGTCAGAGGCCAATTTTTGCACGGACTGCTGCACGTGCAGAAGAATGCCAGTGCTGCTCTGTTTTGCTCCTACTGCAACGGTGCGCGCGGTCCCGGCTCGGGACCGCAGCGGCAAGCGGCTGGGCCAGTCGTCGGCAGCAAGGTCGAGCACAAAGGAAGAAACTCCAAAGATCTCCAAAGCCAGATCGCGCTATGTCATGGGGAGAGTTGCGAGGAAGATGGAGTTGTATAGAGTACACGACGCGACCATCCACATCGTCGCGCAGGCCCATCAGAGCACGCACGTGAGCAGCCAAGGGTCCGTGCTTGCGTGGGCCCAAAAACCCTAAACCCTAAACCCCTAAACCCTAAACCTTGGTCGAAGATTTCGACCCACGCCTTGGCCACGGTGCACTATACCAGATTCTGTGCTGCCGGCTGCTTGTAACTATTTGGACATATCTCTGGACGAACACAAGAAGACGCAAAACCCATCCAGTGAGCCAACGATATAACAGTGCGACGGAGACCCCATGTATTCGCGGCAAGCACAAATTCAATCTACGCATTCACACCGTAATGGTAGCAACGTGCTGTTGATGATTTCGCAAGAGCTCTATGACTCTATGAGATCTTTGGACATGGCCAAAACATGCACGAAACAGCATGACTGGATTCTTCGCGTGCTTTGGTGTTTCGGACAACTCCGGACACAGCGACCGATGCTTCCAGCAACACGTCCGCACAAAAACACCCCACGATCTGCACGCAACCAAGGCCATGATCGGAATGCAGGCGGTACGGATTTCGAATACGAAGCGATTCCAGTAATCCGTGACACACCATGCCGTACGTGCCCTTGCACAACGCTTCGCCATGGCGCCTACGGAACGAATTTTGTTGGCCAGGTTTCATGTCTCCGTCTTTCGATACCAAGGTTCCTTCTCCCAGGATTCTGATGTACGGCTCGGAATGTTTAGCACTAGTTCCCCTTTTCTGGTCCCTATTGAATAGATATTATATATATATATATATACACATACATATTATATATATATATATATACATATTTGTCTATAGATCCTGAAAGTACTGTGATATACCCCGATACATCCCGAAGCGTTATTCTAATCCTTCAAGCACCTACACTAGAGTCCGAGGCCTTGAGTTCTTGTTAGGGTTCAGGGTCTAGAGTCTAGGGTTCAGGGCACAGGGTTCAGTGTTTAGGACTACCGGCTACATGGTTCAATAAGTCACAAGATCTCTGCCGTTCATCGTGTTGGGCTTCATCCTTCTATGTTTTTGGTTTCAAGGGGCTGGTGTTCTTATTCTTCGTCTGACTACAAGTATCATATCAGACAGGCCCAGGCTTCAAGACATTCCTTCCGAAAACAGCAGCACCCCCTTTTTCTCGCACCTGAACGAAGGCCTCTTCAATTCTACTCTATTGTGGAGAGTTCCGAAGAGCTCTTGAGATCATCACACCGATGTCCCATGGACTCGAGGAAGCGATCCCCCAGTGGTCCGTGTGCATTAACGCTGGAGCTCCGCGCGAGCTCCGTGGGCCTCGGAAGACATCTGCCCATCGCCGGAAAGTGCGCGAGCAGAGAGTCCCAACCGGGGCACCCTGGGGGCCAAGAAGTGAACTTCGGCAGTTTCGCAGCGGAAAAACACGGCGGGGATGAACTGCCTCAAGCGCGGGGCGCCGTGGGCGTCGTGGCCCCGAAGGAGCACTCGTGGTCAAGCGCCGTCCTCTCAATGCAGCGGCAGTCCAGCGCCACGAGCGCTCGGGGCTCCAGACCGTGCAGCACGAGGTGTCGAAGCAAGGTCCGAGCAATACTGACTCCAAAGCTGTGCCCAAGCAGGATCAGTCCAGCTGCACACCTTTATGAGAATCCTCTTCTGGGATGGCGACAGCCCGTGCAAGCTTCATCAATCCGCTTAGGTTGATGCATCCGTACTGGAGGGCCTGCTCCACGGGGAAGGAGAATAGCAGAAGCGCCAAGTGCAGGTAAATCTCGGGATCTGCGAAGGCCCCCCTGGCCGCTCCGGCGATGCCCAGCAGCACTGTCCCCGAGGGCCTCGGATTAGGCTGGGTTGGCGGGGGGGCTGGAACCCGAACGCCAATTGCTGGTTTAGGGTCGAGGGTCAAGGCTTTGATGGGGTTAAGGGCTCTTTGGGTGAGGTGATGTGAGGTGCCTCTTCCTCCGGCTAAAAACCCGAAGGCCGCAGCCACGGCACGCCGGAAGGCCTACGGTCATCCAGCCAGGCGCGACAATGCACCACGAGGCACGAAGAAGACCGCAAGAGAGCCCCTAAATCCTAGAACCCTAAAGGTGCGACGGCGATGCAGAGTAGCGTGGCACTTTGACCGCAAGCGTTTTGAAACGCCTACATTCTTAAAATGCGCAACCGTCAACACCTGACTTGGAACCTCACAGAGGGATCCGAATCATATCGCGTTGACCTCGATTTCTGGGTGCATCCCACGGGTTTCCCCGCAATTGCGTGTCTGGCTGATGCCCCCGTGACCTTGGCGTGCCGAAGCAACTTGCTAATGGTTACCGCTGTCTTTCGAGTATGCCGTCGTGCGAATGAAGTCCCAGATGCAAACGTCATCCACCCGGGGCTCAACGACAAACCTCTAACGGCGCGAGGTTTGAGAGCTGCGGGAAGATACGCTGTGATGCTACGCTCCGAAAGGGATGTGTGCCAAAATGTGAGCTCGGGCATGCGAATCCGAGCCAACCTGCAGCTGGGGCTCTCGGACGGAACCTTCTTCACCTGAAGACTCTACACAGAACTAGAGCTCCAGGAGAGTTTGCCCAAAGCACTTCCCCCATCCTCGCAGCCGATTGAACACCTCGGGCACGGTTCAGGGGTTTAGGGGTTTAGCCGTTTAGCGGTTAGGTTCAGGGTTTCCTGAGAGGGACTCTGCTGCCCTTGAAAGAGATCCTGCTTGTCAGGCATTCCCGCATCCCGAAAACCCCTCCCAGCAAGGAGGCAACGGGGGGAGAGAGCCCGGAAGGCGAAGGAAGCGGGCGCACAGCGCGGCCCCGATAAACTGGAGAAGAACACCAGCAGCTGAGCAGGATCAGAGCTTAAGGCAGCAGGGCAGGGCCGTTGTCGAGGCGTCCTCCAGTCTGACGATGCCATCTGAACCCCTTGGGCAAGAAGGGAACCCTCGGAGCTTGGGGACGGGAGCCCCAAAACTCACACGAAGGTAAATTTGGGTCGGGAGTTGCCAGGCGTCGGGAAACAAGGCGAACTCAATTTAGGGATTTAGGATGAAGCTGAAAGCTTACTGCAGGGACACGGTAGGGTTTAGGGTTCAAGGGCTTCCTTTTCCCGCTTTGAAGAGCGGTTTGGAGGGTCTTCGGAGACGTTTCGAAACTTTGGGACTTGCGCACCTTCCAGAAAGCTTGCAGCAGGAGCACCCAAAGGGCCGAGGGGGTCCTAAGGGGGTTTTTTGGGGTTCTAGGATAGGGTCCCCTTTGAAGGGTACTGTGGGGTCCTAAGGTGGGTCCCCTTTAAGGGCCCTAACCTACCCAGGCTCGCCTTCCAAAGGCAGGGACCGAAAGTATTTCGCCAGAGCCAAGGCCGAAAACTGGAATGGCATGCACTCGAGGTTTCAAGCGTCTCACCTTGGGTTTAGGGTTTAGGGTTTAGGGTTTAGGGTTTAAGGTTTAGGGTTTCAAGCGTCTCGCCTCTCCCGCCCTGGCTCCCAAGCCACGTCTTGCAGCCACGCGAATCAGACATCCCGCAGATTTACCAGGCTGTGGGAAGAAGGCCTTTGAGATCTTCGGTTGTGCTGCGAGGGTGGAACGAATAGACATGAAGGAATCGAACCTCGATGACTGCCACAGGCATTTTGCGTGCTGTGATAGACGCAGTTTTTTCAGTCCCCTCGCTTCCCAGCCATGACACTCAAAGTGACGAAGTGCCCGCTGCGAGTTCGAGAAAAAACTCGACTTCCTTGCACTGTCGGACCTCACTGTCTTGGTAAGCAGCAACAACCTCTCTGCTGGACGCTGCAGGTGCTTAGTTTGCAGCTAGCTCGGCTAGCTCCCCCAAACCAGCAGGCAAAAGCCCCCCTTAAAGGAACCCCCAAACCCCCCAACTTTAAGACCCTGTAAACTAGAACCCTTATCGGACCTTTTGACCTGGAGCCCGCGGATCCGAATGCCTTCGGCCCCAGCAAGGATACCTCAGGGTTTAGGGTTTAGGGTCCGGAGCCTTTCACCTACGGGCACAGGTTTTCAAGCGGGCGGAGTCGTATTGGGTCAAGCAGCCGCAGCACTCGTAAGAGTTACACAGGAGCAGGCGCGGAGAATTGCCATGTCTGGCGCGGGTGGTGATGAGATCCTGTCGCAATGCAAGGCTGATCCTACTGGGATAATGCTTTCTGACGACCTTTCGTTTGCGTCTCCCTGGCAAGACTACTATGTTGCGCGGCAACGAAGCCTTTTGATGGAGGAGGAAAGCATTGCTGGAGCCTTGGGTATGGAGACTCCATATGCTTTCTGGCTGAGTCCCGCAGTCAAAAAATCGCGTACAAGCGCGCTACATGATCTCGTGCCACGACATGGGCAGCATGGGTACCGGTTTACTGGAAGGGACAAGACCGGCTTTTCCAGTGTGAAGCGCTGAGCAAGCAGGTTGTACTTTGCCGTGCTGGTTGAGGGTGTGCAGATAGAGTCTAGCCTTAGCCAGCTATCCGCTCCACATGTAAAGGCTCATCAGGGTCGGAATGCTCTGCAAAAGAGACGAAAACTAGGTCACCCCAAGCCCAACTCGTGAAAGCCGAGAAGAGCTCGAGTCACGGCATCTGTCGCTCTGGCCAGGGCGGCTGAGGCCTCCGCAAACCACGGGGACGCCTTTGAAGCTTTGGAAGCTTGTTTCTTGAGGGTTTCTAGGCTTAAGGCTTTGGGGTTTATGGTAAGGTTTTGGGTGTAAGGGTCTAGGGCTCCAAAACGACCTTTGCCCTGGCAACGCTGGGAGTGGACACAATCACTTCTCGCAGAGCAGCAGGCCCGAACGTGCTGCGACTGCCTGGGTGACCAACCCTAGGATACCGCTTATAGGGTTTAGGGGTTTAGGGTTTAGGGTTTAGGGATTAAACCTCTAAACCGTTCTAAACCCGATGTAAAGTCAGGAATGCCGCATGGTCTTTCGGGTCTGAGAGGGCGCCCAAGTGTCAGCAGGCACTCACGGTCGGAAGGCCCTGTATGTCCTGTCCTCGCAACCCGCATCGAGCTGTCAAGATCAACCGCTGCCTGCGCGACTTCCCGAGCTCCACCGAGGTTCTGTTGGAGATACGGCTTCGGATTAGCTCAGCGCTTTGAAGTGCTGAGCACTTCGGGCATACCAGAACAGGAACGCAGAACGCCTGACAGTGCAAAAGCTCCGCCCAAGCCCAACTTTCTGCTGGCGCAAGTGTGATGCGTAGGCACGTGAGGCGAACAGGGCTGGCGAGCTTTAGCACAGATGCCCCAACCGGAGACCTCCCGAAAGGAAAGTGGGGTTCCCTGAAAACGGTCCAAGAGATCTCACCGGCAGGAGGTCGGATCGGCAAAAACTGAGAGCTGAAGCGCGCAAAGAGCGCTGCACGGATCCTGAACCCCAAGCCCGAGCCCTCCAGCTCCGAAGGATCAAGCGGAATCGGCGGCCGCGGCTTGCACTTTGGAGATGGCAGCAGTGCAGGGGCAGGGACCTTTGCGTCGAAAGAGCCGAGAGCCAACTGACAAGGCCTCATCCTCCCTGAGAGGTCCCGGGACGGAGTGGGACACCAAGGGCTCTCTCTGCAACCCTGGCTTCCGTGAAAGAGAAAGAGACCCCAGCGGCCCTAGCAAAGAAACCGAAACCTGAACCTCAAGACATCTCTAAACTGAGTATGCATCAAAAAGCTTAATTATGTCGGCTGGACATCATAGCCAAAGTCGGCCACTTCCGGGAAGAGGTCAGTCCTGCAAGTTGCCCAACTTCTCTTTCTGTTTAGTCGGAATGCAGTCTGACGGCTCTGGATTGCCAAAACTGCGTTCATGCTCCCGGACGAGTTGAGCTCTTGCGGGCGGGGTACGGCTTCATCTGCGAAACAGCACAATCCTCGCTCATGCCACCAGGAGCTTGCATCCACCGTGGTGTCAAGACGTGCCATCACATGGCTTGAAAGCCAGCATCGCGGCCACCAACACTCGGCTCGTGCAACGACGGCAGGGTGAACACAAGCTCAAAACGCATCTTAAATCAATGCCACAATACATCAACTCGACCCTGATGCTAAGTTAGATTCAATTCAATTCTAGAAAAGCGCTGGCACATGCATCCGGGCACGATTCCACTGCAGGAACTTAGAGCTCAACAGTGGGCAGGAACATGAGTGCAGCGCCCCTGCATCTCGTAGGAATGGAGCCCAGGCAAGGACGAAGAATCCGAGCTCGTCTGCGGAGATTCAGATGATTCAGGTGACGGATCTCGAGATCCTAAAGCCTAAATCCGAAACCCTGAACCCTAGGCACGGTTCTTAAGTTGAGCGGACAAGAGCTAATCCCAAGGCATGAACCCTCGCGTTCAAAAAAGTCGCTGGAGCTGTCTAGGGGTAGCCTGCAATTTTACGTCATAGCCCAGGCCCTGAGAGACTGCCTAGGATGACTCCGATGACAGAGCTGCTTCGGCTGGTGGCTGGGCCGAGCCGGTGCATGCAAGAAGTAGACGAGGAGGACCTTAAGATCCTTCCAAAAGTCCTACTTTTTTTAAGGCCCCTGATGAAAACCCTCAAGCCAATTTTGCCTAAACACCCCCAAAAAGACAACAGAGCTTTGAAGACCTTAGGCTCCTCGGAAACACACTTGCCGCCGCACGGCTGCCACAAAGAATCCTGGTCGCGCGCACGCGTTCTGGAAGTAGCGATGTTCTTGCGCGTAGAGTGGTGTTTTGAAACCTTGCATGCG